GACGAAAAATCTGCATCACCACCAGTCTTGCACGTAATACATGCAGGTCCCGCGGAACGTTTTTCAAAGTGGAGTATTATCGTTCAGGTAGAGCATAAATTGGCGTGGGGTCCAGGGCATGAGCCTCGGCAGGGGGTCAAGGGGCTGAGCCCCGGAAGCTCAGGGGTTTAGGTATTAATTATGGTTAGATGAGCATCCAGGGGCCCTCTTCAAGGCCATTGACGTGTTCCAAGGGAGGGGGGGGGGGGGGAGACACCAGAAGCTCAGAGGTTTTAATACAGGATTTCCCGGCCAAATTCGCGTGTTTGTCATTCGAATTAATTTACTTTGCATTTAAGTTAGCGCAGATCGGCTTTGCCATGCCAATTATCATTCAATTTTCCAGTTTTTATATTTAATTTAGGATTTTGGTCGAAAGGTTTCATAGATCTGTCATTCAATTTAGAAACTGCTCAATTAGCATTCAAATTAATATTCACTTGTCGAAGCGTAATTTTTATCATTCAAATTAACACCTGTCATTCGTATTCGTAATATTTTTATTCAAGTTAGGAATGTTAGGGGGAAGAATTGCAACAAACTTTTACAGTTTTTAAATAACGCAGTTAACATGCATGATTTGCCATTGGGGTCTAAGCTGTTATTCCATTTATTTATTGTCAGAACAATGCAGATGGGTGTAGTCAGACATAAAGTAAAGAAGGGGCGAAATCAAGGGATATGGCATTTCTGCACGGACATGTTCATATTGCCGGGAAAGGTGGGGGTACCCTCAATCGCCCCTTTTTACTACAGACTCGGAATTTTACAAAAGTAATTCACATCGTCTCATATACCCAGCACACCCCTCTGTTTTTTTTTAAAAGAGTTTCATAGTTTACTTGCCCGCCAGCAGATCGATGGCTAAAGACATGGCTAAATAATGAATCATGTTCAAATTGTTGACTCTAGTCCCTACCCCAGTCACAATATTGTACCCTTCTTCCATAATGAAATTTATGATGAAACACAAGACAAACAACTTCCTTTCATGAACATTTACAAATATACTGAGACCATCAGGTTCGTAGATGCAAGTCGTTTTTTCTTCTTAACAATCAAACTTAAATGCTGATGAATATCAGATAATCTAATAAGTATAAGTGTATAAATGCAAGGAAATGAAATATGATGAAATACACATGAAAAAACAATCTTGAAAGAAAAAGAATGAGCTATAAAAAGTGTGTAATAAACGAGAAATGTATATTGAGTATTGACCATCAATTTAAGTGCACAAAGTGCTAATTTGAATGCTGCAAATGAATTAGAATGCTAGAAGTACACCGTCGCGTTGTCAGAAAATCGTGTTGCGCCAAATCGAATGACCAAATAGCGAAAGAAGCACATTGTTCATTAATTTGAATGAAACATACGTAGATTCTAACGAAAATTCCATAGATTTGAAAACTAGAAAAGCGAATATAAACCCGAGATATACCTGACTGCACTAAAACCGTCGAATTTGAACGCAAGACAAATTAATTTGAATGACAAACTCGCGAATTTGGCCGGGAAATCCTTATTTAACTACGGTCAGATGAGCATCCAGGGGCCGTCTTAGGGCCCTTGGTGGGGTCTAGGGGGCAGAGCCCCGGTAGCTCAGGGGTTTTAGGTATTCAATTACGGTCAGATGAGCATCCAGGGGCCCGCCTTAGGGCCCTTGGTGGGGTCCAGGGGGCAAAGCTCCCGGAAACTCAGGGGTTTTAGGTATTTAATTAAGGTCAGATGAGCATCCAGGGGGCCGCCTTAGGGCCCTTGGTGGGGTCTAGGGAGCAGAGCCCCGGAAGCTCATGGGTTTGAGGTATTTAACTACGGTCAGATGAGCATCCAGGGGCCGCCTTAGGGCTCTTGGTGGGGTCCAGGGGGGCAGAGCCCCGGAAGCTCAGGGGTTTGAGGTATTTAACTACGGTCAGATGAGCATCCAGGGGCCCGCCTTAGGGCCGTTGGTGGGGTCCAGGCCGGAAGCTCAGGGGTTTTAGGTATTTAATTACGGTCAGATGAGCATCCAGGGGGCCGCCTTAGGGCCCTTGGTGGGGTCCAGGGGGCAGAGCCCCGGAAGCTCAGGGGTTTGAGGTATTTAATTAAGGTCAGATGAGCATCCAGGGGGCCGCCTTAGGGCCCTTGGTGGGGTCCAGGGGCAGAGCCCGGAAGCTCAGGGGTTTGAGGTATTTAATTAAGGTCAGATGAGCATCCAGGGGGCCGCCTTAGGGCCCTTGGTGGGGTCCAGGGGGGCAGAGCCCCGGAAGCTCAGGGGTTTGAGGTATTTAACTACGGTCAGATGAGCATCTAGGGGCCCGCCTTAGGGCCGTTGGTGGGGTCCAGGGGGCAGAGCCCCGGAAGCTCAGGGGTTTTAGGTATTTAATTACGGTCAGATGAGCATCCAGGGGCCCGCCTTAGGTCCCTTGGTGGGGTCCGGGGGCGGAGCACTAAAACCGTCGAATTTGAACGCAAGACAAATTAATTGAATGACAAACTCGCGAATTTGGCCGGGAAATCCTATATTTAACTACGGTCAGATGAGCATCCAGGGGCCGTCTTAGGGCCCTTGGTGGGGTCCAGGGGGCAGAGCCCCGGTAGCTCAGGGGTTTTAGGTATTCAATTACGGTCAGATGAGCATCCAGGGGCCCGCCTTAGGTCCCTTGGTGGGGTCCGGGGGCGGAGCCCCCGTAAGCTCTGGGGTTTTAAGCATTTGATTACGGTCAGATTAGCATTTTTTATACCTTATTTGTGACATTGGCAGGTTACTTATTTTTTTCTCCGTCTTTCTTTCCTTTTCTCTTTAACATACTTTTTTCAAAAAGGAGGGGGGGGGGGGGGGGGCTCGAGCCTAGCCACTTTACAGACCATGACAAAAAGGCTTCTAAATAAGCGTATTTTCGCCTGACTGTAATGTAATTTGGGAATTTTCTTATTTCCAACAAACGCATAAAAAGGTATGACTTACAAAAAAATGGAGAAAAAATGCCGGAAAATCATGTCACAACATCAACATTTGTAAATCACTTGTTTCGAATAAGAAATACACCACCCCCCATCAGTACGCCAGCGTTCAGGGGCTCATGTCTTCTCACCCCTATAACAAAAAAAACGGACACGCTTTCCCATTCTCGCACAATATGTCCACGATATGCGCGTATCGCTTTATAGAGACCTCCATTGATAAATACCGTATAGGTGGCATGCGCAAGGTTTATGAAATTTAATTCCTGTGAACTTTCCTTTTTCTTTGAATGGAATTGTATATGTGATTTAATTTAGGTTTTTATTATTGTTACGTTCTTTTGGATTAAAAATCCAAACCATGTTTACTCCTTTACTGTTTTTTTTCGGAGGGGGGGGGGGGGGGGGGCAAAAATGCGTTTTGACCCCCCCCCCCCCCCCCCCCCCCCCCCCCCCCCCTGCCCCCCCCCCCACTTCCGGCGCCTATCAGCACGCAACCATTAAATGAAAACAAAATCCTACGTATCGCTTAGAGACTTAATTGTAATTTGCGTTATATAAAAACTGAGTATTATTATTATTATTATTAGGCTTTTATATGTACTCTATTGTCTAAAACAAAGGGTAGTGTCAATGTCACATTAATGGGCAAGTATGCATGTTTGAATAGATATGCAGCTAAACCTGGCTTAGCGACCGCCTGCCTACAAAGACGTCATTTTTTGTTTCCCTTGAAAATGGTTTCTCATTGAAACATGTACTAAAGGAACCTGTACATGAAGACTCCCTGTCTGTTAACACCACTTTTCTTGTCTCCCTTTGGTGGTCTTTATAGACAAGTTTCATTATATAAGCCAAAAAATAAATTTAATAAAAAAAAAAAAAAAAAAAAATCAAATTTTTATACCTAATTTATATTTTCTTATAGAACTTAATCATATAAGTTTCTCTGTATACTCTAGATATCTGGAAGTTGACAAAGATGTGGGGTGAAGATGATGATGATGACAACGGAGGACGTTTTGCATCTCGTCCTAACTCGAGAGATGACCATGGGAGGGGTAGACGAAGAGGATTTCGAAGGGGTGGGACCCGAGGACAAGGCAGAGGAGGTGCTACGGGTGGAGATAACGTCATGGGGAGAAGACAGAACAGGAGGGAAGGAAGTCGTGATAGAGGAGACGCCATGATGGCTGACAGATTCAGGGGAGATAACTTCCGAAGAGAAGGAAGAGACATAGAAGGAGCGAGAGGAAGGGGACATGATGGAGAGAGAGGAGCTGGAAGGGAAGTTGGAGGCCAAAGAGGCGGTAACAGAGGAGGCCCATTCCGCCAGCGCTACAACGACAGGCAACAAGCCGGACAGCGAGGCGATCGGCCTAGAGGCCGTGGTCAAAGAGGGGGCCACATGGATCAAAACGTAGCTGGATCTAGAAGAGAGGGCTATCGGACACAGGAAAATACTAGGTATAGACCGCTTTGCATGTTTTTTTTCCATAGGCCGATATGGACCAATATTCTCTTACACATGATAATGTGTTGCAATAAATATGCATCTAACAGCTAAATAGGTCAATACATTTTGTTAATGACGACGCCTACTTGTATTGAAGTAAAGAGTAGTCAGTTTGGTAGAAATTGTACACAATTAGCCCTGTAAATGTTTTATACACTACTTTTTTCAGCGTGTTGACACATTTTTATAACGGTGATTTAAAAGAAAAAAATGTAAATTGCAGCTTGTATCAATCTTGAAATGTATGAAATGGATGAGGTAAAAGTGAATGAAAGCTTTTCATGACATGAATATATATCAATATATATAGCTTTACATCATTTAATTTCTACCATTTCAGATATGGACAGACCCAAGGAAGATACCCGAAGAACCAAGGTAACTTCAGACCGCTTAGTTCCAGACTTCTCAGGGAAATACTTGAAAAAGACCCTTCCGAGGCCGCTACAGAACTTGGGTCCCTGAAAGGAAACCTTCAAGTGGGTCTCAACGAAGATGTGATGAATGAGGTACAACAGCATCTCCTTTGGGAGGCTCTAGCATTTATTTGTGGAGCTCTAGGTGCAGAACAAACAGTGATCATGCTCCTGACAATGGCCCTCGACTCCAAACTCTGTCGTCAGCATTTACTCACGTTTTTGACCAATCTCAGGCGTCCAAGAGAAAACATCGGCGCAAGGCGGTTAAACCTTTTGAAGAATGTCATCACTGTCTTCCACTCAGCCATGCAAAGTTTGCCAAGCCGTGCTTCAGATCTCAAAGTTGCAGTCACTCTCATCTCCGATGCTGTAGCAGACATGGAAGAAGACGATAAACGTGATGACATCATGGAGTCAATAAAGTCGTTGAGTAGTCACATTGAGGACATTGAAAAAGAGAGGGAAAAAAAGAGACAGATGGATCGCATTTCTAAGAACCCACCCCCTGACGACTTCCGCCAGCAAAACATTCTTCCCACTGTCAAGGAATTGCAACCCGGATATCAGCCGTTTCTCCGTCCTCATCTGACGAGAGGTGTATATGCCGATGCAGATCACTACCTGGATGTTCAGTTCAGACTTCTGAAAGAAGACTTCATCTACCCTCTTCGCAATGGGATATCAGAGTACCTAACTTTCAAGAAGGCGAACCCTGACAGACGGGCCAAACTTCAGGATGTGCGAATCTACGAGGAAGCTCACTACGAAAAATCTGTCCGTGATTTCTCCGGAATTTCACATTACATGGCTTTCAAGAAGTTACCTCGTGTCCGATGGCAATCGACAAAACGACTCATGTACGGATCATTGCTCATTCTATCAACGGATGATTTTAAGTCCTACATATTTGCTACAGTGGCCAAACGGGACGTAGCAGATCTAGAGAAGGGAATGGTAGCCATAGCATTGGTCGACCGAGAAGATGAAGATGCATCATGTCTACTGAATAAAAGTTTTGTGATTGCAGAGTCATCTGTCTTCTTTGAAGCTTATCGCCCAGTTCTCCTGGGTCTCCAACGAATGTCTGGCCCATGCTTGCCGTTTTCCCAGTACACTTTGAGCATGATTCACGATGTAAAGCCACCCAGGTATCTCCAAGATCGGATGGTAACTGAAGACGATGAAATGTTCATCAATCCATGTAGCATCAATATCTCACCTCTGCTGAAAGGCAACCGACGATACTCTCCAAAAATCGACGTGCTTGACGATGGTGCTTGGCCTGATATTGAACATGTACAGCTCGACCAATCACAATATGAAGCTGCCAAGACTGCTCTCACCAAAGAACTTTCTGTCATACAGGGTCCACCAGGTACCGGCAAGACGTACATAGGTCTAAAGATCGTAGAGACTCTTCTCCTCAACAGAGAAGTCTGGTCAAGTGAAGAAAACCCTAGCCCCATCTTACTCGTGTGCTACACAAACCATGCACTGGATCAGTTTCTGGAGGGTATCTTAACATTCCATCGCACTGGCATCGTTCGAGTTGGAAGCCGTAGCAAGAGTGAGCAGTTGCAGGCCTTCAACCTTAATCGGATGGTCGGTCGGAGGGGAGTACACGATGAAGAGTACGTTCAGCGAAGGGTTCGTCATGTCAAGAAAGAAGTTGACGCTACAAGGAGACGTGTGGAGAGAACGCAAGCCAGGATAGAGGGTGCAAGAAATGGGATCATCAACGAGTATGAACTAGGCCCTTTTATGTCATGGCAGCATTACAACAGCCTCCTGCGTCTTTCTCATCTGAAACAGTTAAACTCCTGGCTTGTAGAGTGGCTTCTCTGTGAGAGTCATAATGACAGGGATTGGAACCAGCAAGAGAAACGGGAAACACTAGAACAGAGAGATAACATGCAAGAAGATGAGAGGGAAGAAAGCACCAAGCATGCTCCTGTGGCAAATGAAGCAACAGTCGAGGTAGAATATGAACGAAGTGCCATCGAGTCTGAAAGAATGATTGACGACGAATATGGTGAGGAAGATTCTGATGAAGAGGAAGATGAAGACTATCCTTTCCTAGGCCTTGACTTAAATGTTCTGAACAAACCAGAGCACAGTATCTTGCGGAGGTTCATCCAAAGGAAGATGTCTGGAAAAGATGTCATCGATCCACGTGCTCTTCAAACGATTATGGATGTCTGGAGTATGCATCCAAATGATCGATGGGCACTCTACCATATTTGGTTGCAAAACTACCTACATCAGTTGAAAGGGAAACTGCAAGCATATGACCTCAAATTCAAGCAACTTTGTGGTCAGCTAGATGAGGCAAAAGGCGTAGAGAAATACCACGTCCTCCGACAGGCAACTATAATCGGTATGACTACAACTGGAGCAGCTAATCACCAGCAGGTTTTGCAGAGAGTCCGGCCAAAGATCGTTGTAGTAGAGGAAGCAGCTGAGGTACTGGAGGCACACATCATCACGGCATTAAATGCTTCATGTCAACAGCTGATTCTCATTGGAGATCATCAACAACTTCGTCCGAAACCAAACGTCTTCCTCCTGGCCAAGAAGTATCATCTGGACGTTTCATTGTTTGAAAGACTTATCAACAATGACTTTCCTTACTCACAGCTTGAGTTGCAACATCGGATGCGTATCGAGCTTTCGGGTCTGATGAGAAGGCACTTCTACGACAACCTTCATGATCATGACACGGTGAAGCAATACGGAAGTGTGAAAGCAGTTCAAAAGGATATCTTCTTTCTAGATCACGCAGAACCAGAAAATGAAATGGAAGATACACAGAGTCACTACAATCTCCATGAGGCCGGACTGGTAGTAGCGTTGTGTTACTACTTCATGCAGCAGGGGTATGAACCTGATAAGATTACAATCCTCACAGCTTATACAGGTCAGCTACTGAAAATCAAGCTCATGATGGATCGTAGCAAGTTTGAGGGAGTCAAAGTTACCTCAATAGACAACTACCAGGGAGAAGAGAATGATATCATTCTCTTGTCCTTTGTGAGGAGCAACAATCATGGGCGCATTGGATTCTTGGGGATTTCGAACCGAGTTTGTGTCTCATTGTCAAGAGCAAAGAAAGGGCTCTACTGCGTTGGAAACTTCACCCTCTTCGCAGAAAAGAGTGAGCTATGGAAGGGAATAGTAAGAGATCTAGAAGGAACGGGATCAATCGGAGATTCCCTTACGCTGCAATGCACCAATCATCCAGAGATGAGGACAGCGGTGAAAACTGCCGATGACTTCAAGAAGGTACCACTAGGAGGATGTAGTAGAGACTGTGATACCAGGCTTGACTGTGGACACGTTTGTCGATTAAAGTGTCACCCAACGGATCTAAAGCATCTCGTTTACAAGTGCAAGGCTCCGTGCTCCAAGGTTATCTGTGAGAGAAACCACAAATGCCCAAAGCTCTGCTCAGACCTTTGTTCGACCTCTTGTTCAGTCATTGTGGAGAAGATTCTGCCCTGCCGTCATGTCTGTAAAACGGAGTGTAAGACCGACATTTGGTCCATCACATGCGAGGAAAAGGTTGACAAAACTTTAAGTTGCTCACACGTCCATCTTCTTCCATGCCACATGCCAACTGAGGGACTTGAAAAGAAGTGCAAAGTCCTTACCAAAAAGGAATTGCAGTGTGGCCACAGTAAGACAGAGAAGTGTAATGGAAGTGGTCGATGTGATGAGATAGTCTTGAAAGTTCTGGAATGTAACCATATCTGCCAAGCAGCGTGCCATAAAGATCCAGAGGACATCAGATGCAAGGAAAATGTTGAGAAAACACTGCCATGTGGACACACGCATACTCTTCTCTGTTCCGCAAGTATTGACAATGTTCGGTGCAACACGATTACCCGAAAAGTCGCTCATGTGGACACGAAATCATAGAGAAGTGCTGTCATAACAGTAAATGTTCCGAAGTAGTAGAGAAAACCTTGCCTTGTGGTCACAACTTGAAGATGATTTGTTCGACCGAAGTAGAAACAGTAGTATGCAAAGCAAGGTGCAGTAAGGAGCTTCCATGTGGCCACATTTGCAAGGAAAGGTGTGGGGTGGATTGCACAGAGAACTGCACAGAGATGATCACCAGAGATGACTGGCCATGTGGTCATGAGGTAACCGTTAAATGTTGCGACGAAAGCGACGCATGCTACATCGCCTGTGAGGAGATCTTGATATGTGGGCACAAGTGCAAAGGGACCTGTGGAAAATGCTCACAAGGTCGTTATCACCACCCCTGCATTGAGACATGTAAGAAAAAGCTGGTGTGCGGACACGAATGCGCCCTCAAGTGCGGTGCACCATGTCTTTACTGTAAAATGAAATGTCTGCGGCGTTGTCGTCACTCGCAGTGCAAGCATCCGTGCAGTGAGCCATGTGATGTTTGTACGAAACGTTGTAACTGGAAATGTGAGCATCACGAGTGCAAGACGTTGTGCTGCGAACCTTGTGACAGACCTCCATGCAACAAGCCCTGTCCGAAGAAACGGAAATGCGGTCACCCTTGCATCGGTCTTTGTGGTGAGATCTGCCCCAATAAATGTCGCATCTGCGACAAAGAAGATTTGGAGCAACGTTTCTTTGGGACCGAAGATATCCAGACGGCAAGGTGAGCTGAATGTTATGGAACCATTCTTTAAGAAATAAATCAGGGAAGACGCCTACAAGACATATGAAAAGAGATGACTTTGAATAATCTCATTCTGCTTCATGTTAAAAAACTAAATTATACAATATAAAGGTTAACCTGTGGTATTCTCCTGCTTATATTTTGTCATTTTGTCATACATGTCTATGTAAAACAAAAAATAGATCTCATTGGAACAAAATACCCTTTTAGTACTTCGATAATACATCTAGATTTATATTGCTCGTCATGCTCCTTGAAAGATAAACTTGAATTATTAGAAAAGAAGTAGAACAATTTTGTAGAATGTAGAAAACATTTCCTTAAAATATTATGAGAATATGCCAAGAGCAGAGCTAGATGCATGATTTAACAAATTTCCAAATTTCTTTTGCTACGTCTATAGGTATATTCAACTAGAAGACTGTGGACATTACTTTGAGGTAGAAGGACTTGACAAGTTCCTGGGACTCGGCATAAAATCCAACGGTGCAGAAATATTTACCAAACTATCGGTAATACTACATTTGTTTTCATGAATTATCAATTAATTTGTCATTTCACTCTTATAATTCGTATCATATCACAATACTTCTAGTACGCTTTATCGTAGATAGATATTATATACTCATAAAAGACACACCTCTTAATCAAGAAGGACATGTACGTGTAAATGTGTTTAAAGTAGAAGAACAAGAATTTGGCATAATTTATAATAACTCTTCTAAAAATAATACATTCTTTTAACTCCTTACGTTTTTGATGTATCAGTTTGGTCTTAATTGATTACTGTGATACTGTAAAATTAATACAGGTTTTTATTTTGTTTCATTTTTAAGGTAAAAACCTGTCCAAGATGCGAGAAACCCATCCAGTTAAGTCGTCGCTATAGTAATCTCTTGAGAGAATCTTCAGCGATCAAGCCGCGAATCGTGGAAAAGCTACAGGGTGCTCGCAATAGCAATGAATACAATCACCTCCTCCGTAAAGTCAACTCAGCCGTCATGTCGGCGAGAGAAACCATTCGGCTTTTGTCACCCAAATCACCACTAGCGTTGAGTAGATACTCGCTATCATCGCGATTGGGGTCATTGGTAGAGAGTAGAAAGTCAACGGCGAACCAGCCATTTTTGGACATGCTTCATGAACTACTCCTGGCATCAACAGAGGAACTGGACAGACATAGCAAGTCATTGCCGAATGTACTCGTAGATCAGCACGCGAACGACCTCTGGAATGAGATGAATCGAGTGACGATCATGTGCGACTTGGCCGAAGTACTGAGGGGAGGAGCAACAGAATCAACCAGAGTACCCAGACTTCTCAAAATCCTAGGTCGGGATAGGAATATGACATTAGCACATCTCCTCCTCAATGGAATTCGCATTGTTAATGGGATCAGCAATACTGGCAGTGTCCTACCGACTTTCAAACGCCCTCCGCGTCTTTCCTTAGAAGTAACCATGTGGTTTACTTGTGCCAAAGGACATCCCGTTTCGAATGATCAGCTCAAGAAGGGCGCGTGCGAGGACTGCGACGTGGCTGAGCAGGAGAGAGTCCGCTCCGAGGCTTCTGCAGCTGCAGGACAACCAGGTGACCATAGACAGAATGTGCCCAGTCATCAAGGTGTTGGTGGTCAGCAAGGCCAGCGGGGTAGGGGACGAGGACGTGGAAGAAGAGGTCGAGGTGGAAGAGGTGGTCGAGGTGGAAGAGGTGGTCGCAGAGGAGGACACCAAAGAAACTATGTCCCGTTTTGAGCCCGAATACGCGATCAGAATATCCGTACATCAGAGATTGCTAGTCATTTTGCATGAAGATGTATACAATCAATATCAAACACGGTTTATGAATTACACTGACCTTCGTATCATCGATGTTTATCCAGATAATGCTGTATTGAAAGATTGTAATTGATCCAAGCTATTACATTGTTCTTTGAGATGAATAACGCGCGGGGAATAATTGATAACGTATTCGTAGTACACTGATTTGCCGAAATCTTTTTAATCTGTTAAAATGTATTGGTCGAAATATCCTTTATCTAAATTAATTTTCCTAATTTATTTGAAGGGCTTTTGAAAGATATGCGAGACTACAATGTCCACAGCAAAAAGAGAAAGCATTTTATGTGTCATTTAAAGGATTGAAATTGTAAGATATCGAAACAATTGGTATTGACCAAATGAGCACTGGCTAGGCTCTGCAGGAGCACACAATTGGCCTGAGCAGAGAAATACTAATTTAAGAGACTGCGTCAAAGTACATGTGAACCATCATTTTTGCATGTGCGTTATGAGGTATGAATAATCGTTTCGTAACGTATGTAAATATTCTTTATATTTTCAACTTATATCTCAATCGGATCATTTGCTGTATATCCTTTCGCTTCGCTGCCCGCAGAATACTAAAACATCACTCGACTTTATCAAACAATGATATAGTGCGAGTTTTTCAACCCTACCAGCGCATTAAGATATGTTTTACCGCGCACTGTCCCTGTTCAATACTTGTAAGTACTGTAAAAATATAGAAGAACGCAGCAAAATATATGTCCTTATAAGAATACAAAGTCGTATCAATATGTTGTAAATAGATATCCACTGTCTTGATCTTCAATATACATGCACTTAGGTGTACATCTGTTTACATCAAGCAAGAGTAGAGTATCACAATTGGAGAAAGAACTTTTAAAATAATGATATTGATCGTATCCAAACGATTCAAAGTTGTTTTAAAGCCAAACTGTACTATAGGAGCCCAACCGCAAAAGCCCTTCTAGCACCATCTCAGGTCAACTGTAGCAGTATGGTCTCGTAACTCGCTGCTTTCATAGCAGCGCTGTTGGTTTTCGCATCGAGTCCTCTGTCTGCGAAGTGGAAATTATTTATTTGGTTACACAGTGTTGGCAAGTTGACCATGAGATGGTGATGTATAATTAACAGTATGTTAAGCCAGAAAGTTCATCAGTTCAGTATCGCTTTAAGTTGGCAAACATGTGAAAATGCTGTTGTGTTTAATATGCAATGTTGATAAGGTTGATCAGTATGTACCCTTAAACGTGTAGTGACAGGCGAATTGTGAGAATTAACATATGAATGTTGTCTCTTGGTCGATAATACATGAACCACCATCCTACTCAGAAAATGAGTATGAAACATACCCCCAATATTTAAATAGAACAGTAGATGTACATGTAGGTTATTTCGGGTAGAGCAGTGCTTCATGCAGTCACGATTCATGTTTAAAAGTTATTTGAATAGTACCCATGCTTTTTTGTGTAATCGATAGGTTTAATTAGAAGCGATGATATTGTTCAGATTAAACAAAATATGTCCAAATATTTTGTTACTGTATTTATTCAAACGAAAAATGGTTAAAACTTGAGCATTTACTGTCTCGTATTATGTACATATTAGTTTAAAAATCATAATCAATTATTTGGGTTTCAAGGAAATAACAACAGTGCCCTCAATTGTATAATGATTAATATAAGGAAAGCAATTTTTGCAGCCAAATGTAAACAGTGTTTGCCAGTTTTTGAACACATAGTATCAGCGATAAAGTGTTATTTAGATATGAAAAAATATATATGTAAAACAAACTTGAATTACCTGTAATACATAGCGTTTCTGTTTGTCATTTCGCCTGATTTTTTGGGCCAAGTAAATCTGTGATATTTTAAAATTGAACTGCAATTTGTAACTGATATCTACAGGTGTATAAATGTTTGTTCTTATCATATTTTTAATGTCATTTTGATATAGTTTAATAAAGGAACCCTGTGGAAGGGGGAAAATAAAAAAAATAAAAAAATATATATATGCTCGAGGTCATCCAGTTGGTGAAACATATCGTATCTATTGAAATATGAGATAGAATCGGGACATATATGTAGTAAATTAAGCTAGTTTATTGGTGGATATAAACACCACAAAATACATACAATATCAACATTTCTAATACGTATACATATCAAAATTTTCATTAAAGGTTTTGTGGAATTCTTCATTACATAAAGAATAAATTTCCATCATATAAAACCAGTAATCTACTATTAACGTTTTGAAGGTTCGACAAGGAAGAGTAGTGTATTAGATGAAAGTCAATCAAAGAATGATAGCCCAAATTGAATAATATTTACAAGTGACACGTACTAAATTATGGAGAAATTAATCTTGTCAGAATTCGGGAAGAAAGGTTGACATTATATTATAATACTGACTTTATATCCTCACGATCGTTTATTATAATAGCATGATTAATTGGTGTTCAATTTTATGATGGAGATTAATTCAACCTAGGTGTAAACTCATCAGTCGTCATGAAACAGAGCAATGACCAAAAAAATGTTTTTTTTATTTTAATTTTATGTTTTACAACTTTCGTGTGGACACAACTTTCATGCCGGATGTGTGTGCAGTGTCATATACTCATTTTCGTACGTGGTTCTTGTGATTTTCAACAATATTCAGTCAATTTCTTTTTAATTTTGATCGTTTCAAAACTCACAGCATATATCAAGTCATATGTACTGCATAATCATTTCAGCTTTTGTTCACATGACTATAGATTGGTATAACATGACCACAGAACTCAAGTTTTTGTGTTTCTGCTGTTGTTCAGAATCATGTATCGAATCACAATATAAATAAACTTGTTATGCTTATTATCTCCGAACACTGTTTTACCACATGGTATCTGTACTGTTTTATCGATTCAGTGGTTTTCCTCCTTTGCAGGGGCGTTGATCCATCTACAGTAGTGGGGGGGGGGGGGGGGAGCATTATACATGCGAGGCAATATATGACTTTATCTCTGTGTTTGTGTGCTTGTGTGTGTGTGTGTTTGGGGGAGGGAATCTTAGAGGCCCCACCTCATTCCAACATGGAAACTTCCAAATATTCTGTCAACTGTCATATTATATTCACGAAGTGAGGTGGTCTCTTTGTCTTTGCATCATGGATTACCAATTCTACCTTTCAGAACAAATATACATTGACTATGATCGACTTTAAGTTGGACGTAACCATGGCAGGTCATTCATGCCGCTGTATGCTATCACCATTAACTGGCATTGGTCTCATAAAGGACATACAAATCATGGTCACAATCTACATAAATTACAATTTTTTGAATAATACATTATTATAAAAGGAAAATATGACATCTAAAGGTGATACATCTATAACGGTGATAACAAACAGTGACACGAACATCCTGCCATAGTTAAGTCAAACTTAAAGGCAATAAGTCTTTGTAAAACACCCCCCGATCTGACATGATTATTAATATCTTTAATTTAATACGGTAAATAAGTTGTGATAGACGTGATAATGAAAATAATGACAGATGTATTACAAAAAAAAAAAAAAAAAATAAAATACAGTACTAGCAATTAAAGGAAAAAGGGCATATCAGGTTGGGTAGTTTTTAGAGATGTACGAGGTATTTACCCAGTCGAGTGTTAGTGAACATAAAGAGAGAGAGAGAGAGAGAGAGAGAGAGAGAAGGGGAGGGGTTGGGTGAACTTGGAAGGTGATATCACACTTCTCCACATCCTTTCCCAGTTTCTAGGGACTATTGGCCATTGGCCCCGAAAAATGACAGTACCCCTTTAGTTAATAGACCCATCCAGGGTTGAATTCTTGGGAGAAGGAGGGACAGCCCGGATACGTCTGTACTCCATTTTTCGGCTTGGCTGAAGTGGACCATTGGGGTTTTTAACATTTATTTGCTTATCACAATTATACATGTATCTTAATTGCCCCTCCCCTCTTTTACAAAATTCTGGAGCCTCCCATTCCATCTTTAACACGCCACTAAACTGAACCACCTATTCTAGTTTGACTACTGGATTGACAGTACCTAATACGAGTTGAGAAACTTACTCACTAAAGAACATTTTCTTTTAAGATCAGCAACGCCTTACATGCTTTTACTTTATTTGTCATTTATCTGTAACATAATTGCTCCACATTATATTAACAAAATATTGCAATATGTTCTCTACGTGATACAGAATGTAAGCGGTTTGCGCAAGACCAATCCGACTCGTCACATCTGCATGGTGGGATTGCGCAATACTTATTTAACATGCATGTAAACAGGAAAGGAATTACCAAAGACCTGCGGTGCTGACACATTCTATTGTTCAAGATGAATGTTAGAACGGAAAGTGGTATCATCCGAAAAATAACACTTATAATATATATGGGGCATGGCGGGGAGAGGGGGGGGGGGGCACCTTGTACTCCAGACGATCCTATGGTAAGACAACACAATATTTGATTCATCACGGAAACAAGGGTTCATGTTGAATTTGGGTACGCCGCCCTCGTTTGTCATGCTCAGAAAATCAGTTAAACACCCCAATATATAGGTAGCAGTGGACAAACGGAGGACAATGGTGCACATATTGCACTTTTTGTGGGGCAATTGAGGTAAATTTCCTAAATCTTTTATCAATGTCTGGATACGCCACTACGGGGGTGTATTACCTCAGGAAGTCACTCGTATAGTGGTCTTTGTATGACGATGACAAGAGGCTGAATGCGGCAGTAACATACTGATGCACGTGAGTAGACACCCCCATCTTCCTAAAAAATAAGAAAAATATATTATAACGATTCATACCTATCGCATATAACTATATTGTAAGACATGGCATATATGCCAGCTATAGCTCTCGAATCTGTCTACCAGCAAGACCAAGAGGCAAGAGCTGATGAGTTCAGGTTGAAACCTATATGCTCGGGAGCAAAAAAACACGATCTTTGCAGATTTCAACCTCTTAAAATGCTATCGAGGCACCTTATCCTAGTAGTAGTAGATTCGGAAATAACTCATCTGTCTTTCACATACACATTAGTTCCAATACACCTAAGAGAGAGAGAGAGAGAGAGAGAGAGAGAGCGCGAGAGAGAGAGAGAGAGAGAGAGAGGGGGGGGGGGGGGGTGAGAGAGAGCGAGAGAGAGAGAGAGAGAGAGTGCCTACTAGGCATTGAAAAGGAGTTGGCCCCTGTCCCCCATCCCAAATGTTTCAATCTTAAAAAAAAGTACAGAATTTGGAAAGACATGCCAATCAAAAATAATCAGGGAATTATCTAAAATGCAAAATAGTTTGAATATTTCCCCAATGAGCGGGAAGCGTCGATGTTGCTCTGAATGGTTTAAAGACAAGTATATGGGTTGATTTAAAATCAAGAGTATACGATATTGAAGAGGGGAGGGTGTTGGTGACTGCCTCCCACTCCCGCTCCCCCACCTACCACGTTTAATAGGTTATCTATGACGTATTTCAATGAGTGAATCTCTGAAAACACGCCCTTAAATCTTTGGAATTCCCATCTTGCTATTGCGCATGTCAAGCCGTTGTCACTTTTTGAGGTGATTTCGTGATCGTGTCATAAACTTATTGATTAAAGTCAATAGTAAGTATGATTGCCGAGATTGTGACTTCTTTCGTTATCGTGACATACTTAGTTCTTGAATGAGGTCAATGTATACACATTACGACTGCCGAAATAGAGATTTTAAGAGCACAAGCAAATTCGAAATGTTCAATCAACAGCCGCCGACATAGCAGTGGGAATGCATTTTGAACTACGTTGGCAGATTTGAGAATCCTTGGTAAGGTATGAAAACTGTATGTTAAGTAATTCCTTCATGTATCCACGAGTCTGGCCTTTTCTTTGACAAGATATCAATTATCAAGATCAGACTGCATCTCTGTTCATTTCGTTCATTTATTATTTTATTTTGGATGGCATGCGTTCCTTTGTTTTCTTCTGATCAGACACCATTCATAATGTGCATTGCAACACCTATTCACAACACACAATGGCCATAAGTTTTCTGTCATGGTTGGCACACTTCACAAGCTTCCTTTTAAAACTAATTTGTAAGTGTCACCTCTAAATATCTGCATACACCACAAAATTCAGTGAAAATTGTGTTTTTATATCAGAGCAAATTTTTACGATCAAAATTGCTTACCCTGGTCAATTTTGCCAATTTTCTCTGAGAAAGAACGCATTTTAGTCTTCGACATGAATTGGATATATGCAGTAGTGTTGTTAAAGGCCATAGATGGCTCTATAGCAATATTGAAGCCAACACGAACAGACAGTGATGGGTTCAAGCTTGGTGGTCTCCAATCCCCTACACCTACCCTATACAAATATTTTGTTACGGTATTTATTCAAACGAAATAAGGTTAAAACTTGAGCACTGGCTGTCTCAAATTATGTACATATTACGTTTAAAAATCAAATTAAATTGTTTGAGTTTCATGGAAATAACAACAGTGCCCTCAACTGTATTGTGATTAAAGTAAGGGAAGCAATTGTTGCAGCCAAATGCAAACAGTGTTTGCCAGTTTTTGAACACATAATATCAGCGATAAAGAGTTAATATGATATGGAAAAGTTTACATCTGAAAAGAAAAGAAATTTATTTAAAAGTAGTTGCCTTTTACAAAGTGTATCGATTGTTTATTTTTTCTAATTTTTTTTGCCAAGTAAATCGATGATATTTTAAAAAATGAACTGCAATTTGCATTAACTGATATCTATAAATGTTTGTTCTTTATCATATTTTAAATGGCCAAGAATATCATTTAGAAATTCTGCATGTATATATCTCTTCTTGCATACAAAAATGAATGATATCATTTGATAAAGGAACCCAGTGGAAGGGGAAAATAAATATAAAGATACAAACAAATAAATATATATACTCTAGGTCATCCAGCTGGTGAAAAATATCTTTCGTATCTATTCAAATATGAGATAGAATCGGGACACATAGGTAGTAATTTTAGCACTTTTATTGGTGGATATAAGCGCTACAAAATGTATACAATATCAATATTTCTATTATGTATAAATATCAAGATTTCCGTTAAAGGTTTCGTGGAATTCTTCATTACATGTATCAATTTTCATCCTAAAATACCAATAATCTACTAGTAACGTTGTTACGGTTTGAAGAGGAAGAGCAGTGTATTAGATGAAAGTCGATCACAGAATGAACTTCCGAATTGAATAATATTTACAAGTGACACGTACTTAATTATGGAGAAATTACTCTTGTCAGAATTCGAGAAGAAAGGTAGACATTATATAATACTGACTTTATATCCTCACGGTCCTTTATTATAATAGCATGATTAATTGGTGTTCAATTTTATGATGGACATTGATTCAACCTAGGTGGAAACTCACCAATGGTCATGAAATAGAACAATGAAAAAAAAATGTCTTTTTTAAATTCGTTATGTTTACTACTTTTCGTTTGGACCTAACTTTCATGCCAGATATGTGTGCAGTGTCATATATTCATTTTCGTACGCGGTTCTTGTGATTTTCAACAATATTTAGTCACATTTTGATCGTTTCAAACCTCACAGCATATATCAAGTCATATGTGCTGCATAATCATTACAGGTTCTATTCACAATACTTTAGAATGGTATAACATGACTACAGAACTCAAGTTTTTGTGTTTCTGCTGTTGTTCAGAATCATGTATCGAATCACAATATAAATAAACTTGTTATGCTTATTATCTCCGCTCACTGTTTTACCACATGGTATCTATACTGTTTTATCGAGTCAGTGGTTTTCCTCATTTGCAGGGGCGGTGATCCATTTACAGTAGTAGGGGGGTGGGGGAGCA